ACTGAAACTTTGATGCAGGAAACATCTGCATTTGCTTTGGGTGCCAACGTGTCTGTGTGGAACGCCTTTGTATTTGAGATTGTAATGACTTTTGGCCTGGTTTACACTGTGTACGCCACCGCGATTGACCCGAAGAAGGGAGAAGTTGGCATTATTGCACCAATTGCAATTGGTTTCATTGTGGGTGCCAACATTCTTGCTGGTGGGGCATTTACTGGTGCTTCAATGAACCCTGCAGTGTCATTTGGCCCTGCTCTGGTTAGCTTCACCTGGACCCATCACTGGGTATACTGGGCTGGACCTCTAATTGGTGGTGGACTTGCTGGTATTGTTTATGAAGTCTTCTTCATCAGTCATTCTCACGAGCCACTGCCCGGATCGGAGTACTGAGTAATTAAATGAAAAGCAGCTGGCTATTTTATGCTGCTTGGTGAGATGATATAATTAAGTTTGTTCTCTTAGTTATCTCATTTGTACTCGGTAATTCTTGTTCAACGTGTATCTGTATTTGCCACTACTCTTTATATTCCCAATTTTATTTTTAGAGTATAATATATTAAATTTATGTGAAAACGATTGCAATAATTTTATTTTCCTCTTCATTTTGTTGCATTATTTGATCCCCACCTTAATTATATCTCAATTCCACTGACCATATTTTCAATGTTTCCATTGTGTGTGTTGTATCCTAAATCCAATTAACTTTGAACATAAACACTTTCTATATATATATATATAATTGATGTATTTTCAATTATGACAGATATATCATTTAATTTAATTAATATTTTAATAAATTAAATAATAAAATCGATAGATTCAAATTTTGATAATATGTTAATCACAATGATTTGTGATTCTTAAATTATCCGTAGTCTTAAATAATAACGAGATACGAGAATATCGTTATTACAGATAAACGTGTGATATTCTTACTTGTGAAATAAGTAACTGATCTCATAAACTAAAGTATGATAACACTTAAACGAACTCGTGAATATTTTGTTATGGAACAAAATTTGGAGACTCACTAGGGAGATTCCACGTGAAAAATTATATGATTGTCAGTGGTTAATCTCTAACAATCGGTAGTGGAATTAGTCCTTAGACTTGAGGTCATCATAGTGCCTTATATGAGGACAAGTTATACTTTGATGATATTGGATGTTGTTGTGCCAAGGATCGTTAATATGACATTGTTCGAGTATGTTAAGAATTATATAAAGTTTGTGAATGATCGATAGAGAATTCGTCATTCTTAAATAGTAAAATATTATAACCTATATTTCATTCAGTTAAATTGATAACGAAATCCTTCGCCAATGTGTATTCATAATTTTACACTTGAATTCATAATTTTCTCTACCTTTTATCTACATACATTCTCTAAAAAAACGTTTATCAAAAAATAAAAAACAAGCTAGGTGGCCTCCCTGCACTCTTAACCGAGGATATTACGAACGGACACCCCACGTGTAGTTATTTCACAATATTATTCAAACTGATGCTATTATCTAACAAAAAATTATTTAAAGTTATCGCACATATATTTTCATAAGTACTATCCATTTTCTTTTATCTATTTATAATTTAAATCGTTTATAAACGCTTCCTTACACATTTTTGTTTCGACTGTAACATTTATCATTCTTACAGTTGGATTAAAATAGAAAAAAAAATTTAATATTGATAAATTGCAAGAATCAATATGAAAAGCAAAATGAGTTCCGTTTATAGATTTTACCGTGTCTATTTAGAATTGCTGCAACTTTTGGCACGAATTATTCTTAACGATTAGATCACACCATTTTAGATATGACACGATCTGATGACCTGAATGGCACCCTTGATTCTTATTCCAATTAGCACATATATCCTTAAAATTACCTCCAAGAGATTATATTTTTAAATATCATATTCTACAATATAGAGAACATCTATAAATTTAGAAAATAAAATTTTGTAAGTAATTATAACAAACTCTTTATTTTTAACACTTAATTTTACTATTCCAAAAAAAATATTTATTATTTTTCCATCCTTTTTTTGTTTTTACTAGCTCTCTCCAAACTATTATATTAATTTCCTCCATTGAAAATTGAAATAATTCGAATGCGTTTCATTATAGAGAATGGGTATAACTCTGCAAATTAAACCCGCTCTCTAAATTAAAATGTTAATTTAAGGAGTCTATTGGAATATAAATTTAAGAATTGACTTTTTAATAGAGAAGATCTTATCTTTGAAGAGTATCTTGAAAATTATGATAAGGATTAAGGATTAATGTCACTAATTAACGCAATCAATTAAATATAGGACCCACCTAAAAGGTCCACTAAAGTTGACAAAATTTTCTTTATCAAAACAATTTAATAACCTTATTTAATTTCATTAGTTTGGAGCCCCGATTGATTACCGTTCTTATAAGAATGAGAATGAAAAGTATAGTCATTATGGGATCCACACAAGAGAGAGGAAATCAAATATAATGATTTGATATGATAGATAACGGTCATATTTTTCATTTTTTTGATCAAATAATGAGAAACAAATGAGGCCTTTTCTTCGGACAAAAACAGGCGATCTTATAGAATATTCTCTTAACGATTGATCAACAAAATTTAAGATGTTACTTTGGCATAAAAATAGAATTATCTTTATCACTTTCAATATACAAACAAACCTGTCTTTTTACTAAATTTCCACTTGGAACAATTTTCTTTGATGATTTGGACGCGATATGCACAGAGTATGTTATCCAATTACACATAATCTTTCTAATAAAACTATTTCTTCGATACCATCATACTTTACACGTGTAGCATTTGTAAGCGTAAGATTAATGTTTTTGATAATGATATGTTTGTTTTAGTTGTTTTTTTTTAAATTATTTAAAGTTACATGATACTCTCAAAACATGCAAGTGAAAACAAAATTTATAATGTACACAAATGATATAATTGATTACCATATAATAAGTTGAAGATTGTAAGTTCTTAGTAACAACAATTATTAATTTTCATAATGGAAAATGTATTAGTGTTAAAATAAATAATTTGCTGATTTTTAGGGTAGAAAATTACTTATAAGTACTTTTACGATTTCTTACTGAGGCCGTCGTTGGTTTAGCAAGGCAAACCTTACCGGACAAATTAATTATTTATGAGAAACAAAGTTCTTTTCAAAAATCTATCAATTCGTTTCGCCATGCTTTGTGAACCAACGAGACAGGTTTGCCATCTTCGTTTTTCACGCTTTCTAGCTACATCGCTAATTTCTTGCATCAATTAAATTTATATTCTTAAATCTTAAATGATACCGTAAACAACCATATATAGAAGTGTTCAAGCTCATAACTAGTTACAGAACAAAAAATCAAATGAATGAGAATTAGAGTTGGGCAAATCTCTCGAACCGAACCCGACGGTTCTTGTGAAATTAAATAACCGAACGGATATCTAAATTGAGAACCGACGGGTACGATTCGATTCTCGGTTCTAGACCAATAACCGAAGAACCGAATAAGAACCGAATCTTTCTATTTTTTTTATATTGAATAAATCAAATTATTCTAATTTTAATATTTTCTAAACAAATTAACAATTTCTAAATCCAAATTTTTGGCTCAATAATTTATTTCATTTTTAATTTTTTTAATTTTGGTCCAATTACCATTTTATTATTTCATTTCTTAGCCCAATAAGATCCAACCTACTAAATAACCCTAAACACCTATAATGAAGTGCATAACACTGTCTCGACTCTCGCAACCTCGCTGACATTCCAAAACCTATACAATCCGTCGATCGAAACTTTGACGGTAGCGATCATTTGAACAAGGTAATCTACTAGTCTCTGACATTCCAAAACCCTTGAATGTGTCATTAGTTGTATTTATATAATGCTATTATAAATGTTAAAAAATTTAATTATAGTACGGAACCTAACTCGAACGATTCCATAATTATATTTGGACTCGACGATTCCATTTACTAGATACCCGAAAATTTTAGTTCGGTTCGGTTCTCTTTGATACTGAACCGACCCACGCCCACCTCTAATAAGAATCATGTATGAATATTCTAGTATCTTCGTATTCATTGTAGATTTACATATCCAAAAAAAAAAAAAAAAAAAAAAAAGGGCCCTTCTTCATTTTCGTCTCAACATTTGATTCTAATGTAACGATTTTGTCTGTGTCCAAAATATTACATCATACGTATTATCTTCTATGAAAAAATCTTTTAGATCTTACCTTTCATGAAATTCTATCGTGTTCCCCCTGCCATATGAGAAATTTAAGTTGAATTGTTGGATTTGAATTTTGAGGGACTTGAAAAATATGAGGAGGATAAGATGGGTATAAGTTTTTTCAAAGCGGACAGCAATATAAATTAACGATTTGAATACAAAAACTTGGATCGTCAGATAACAAATTTATACAAAAATAAATTTTAATTTTACGCTCCAATTTAAATAGTTGGTTTCATCGTTGGACATTATGCTTGTACGAATGCTATTTTTTCTTGATTTAGATGTTTTTATCTTATCCCTTGCATTTTGATTATATCGCCGGTCTTCTTAGGATGATGAACCAAACTCTATACTGTAACTTAGAATTCATCCAACTAGCAATGGGACAATTAATGATAAATTTTGATTATTTATTCCATCTTTAAGAATGAAAAATGATGTAAACATAAAAAATTCATGATTTTTGACAATATGTCACTAGTAAATTGTTTGGCTTTGCTGGTTGCTATTTCACTCCCTCGTTATTTCATTTTAACAAAATGACTATTGTCATTGATTGAAGGGTATGATAAAAACTTCTCATTGTTGACTGTTGCCATATCAGCAATGATAAGTACACCTAGAATAGGATATCAGAATTGTGTCTTCGATTATTGTAAACTTGATTGGCAAATTTAGATCGATATTTAAATCTAAAACCAGCGAAATTCAAGAAAAGAGACCTTGACAAGGGAACTTGACCATTAAAAGTAGAGATATTTATGGTGTGTTTGATTGTAAACATGAAACTTACATGAAAAGAAAATAAGTTCTTTATATGAAAATTATCAATTAAATGTGTTTGACGGACTTAGCCCTTTCTTGGCCCACTAAAATATTAATACATTTCTTTAAAGAAAATATTTTTCTTGTTTTCGAGAAAAAACATAGTCACGTGATTACCTTTTGGAAATATTTTTGATAAAAAAATGACAATCAAACACCTAAAAGTAGAAACTTAAGTGAAAAATGATATTTTTCTTAAAAAATAAAGTCAATCAAACTTGCATGGAAAGAAAATAATTTCTAGACAATTCACGTGAAAATTATTGATTAAATGTGTTTGGTTGGTTTAATTTTTGACTTAGAAAATATTATACTTGTCTATATTTTATTGGTCGATGGATGAGAGAGAGATAGAGATAGTTGTGTGTGTGTGTTGCCTATAAAAAACCTACCTATCCCTAAAGAAAATATTTTCTTTATTTTTGAAAAAAATATAGTCGCATGACCAACTTTTGGAAAATAAGTTTCATTTAAAAAAATGTCAACCAAATACCTCGAGTAAGAAATTGGG